ACTTAATTATCACGATAAAGAAGGTGATTGGCTTCTTGCTAATGGAATATCTTATCCCCTTCCAATTTCCTTTAATCTTTTTATATTTCTCGCTATTACCGTTTCAATATCTAGAAGAAGGATGTTTCTCAAAATTAGGAGTTTCAGACTATATGTGTTGAAGTTGACTAATATATTGTTTATGAACTTACGAAAGATAAAGAGAAAAAAAAAAATCAAGATGAGCACTAAATAGAGAATTCTATTCTACCTTGAATTCATAGAGGGAAAAAATAAAATGAAAGAAGAGCTATTGTTGGGGCTCGAACCCAGGTAATAAAGCAAGCGAGGAAACAAATGAGGAATGCAACCCAGCCGCGCAGTCCTTCTTTTAGTATAGGGGCACATCAAAAATATTTAATGGATCCTTATTGTATATACATATTATATATGCATAATTTTTACCGAGGCTAACGGGTTCCAGTGACCCCTCTAGTCCCCATGTAGGTCTGCCTCTGATGGTAGGGTGTTGTATATCCTTGAATTTTTTGAGTTTCTAGTCCTCCCCAGTCGTATTACTCAACTTTTACCCTTTCATAACATAGTTCGACTTACTAGATGAAGACAGAAGAGCACGTTAACGCCTCCCCATGACACAAGTGCTTTAATGTATACATGTTTTTTGGGTTTCATTAAGTCATAAATTTCACAAGTCAGGAGTATTGCATATTTTAGAGCACCTTTTTACTTACTTGAGTTAGTAAAAAAAACGTAAGTATGCCAAAAGTTAGCATTTCTTATTTTTGTGCTTGTATTTTATCCGTTCGTATTCTCCTATATAAGAAGAGCCGTAGAAACAGGTGAGGCAGGCTCCTCTTCGTTGACATCCCTGCTTCACCGAAAACATATTTGCCATTGCTTTTGCATATTATTACGCTAAATGCCACCGCACAGTTTAGTAAATAAAGGAAACTTTTAAGCCATTTTCAAGGCCCAAAACAGCTACACATATTGTGGCCCATCTTATAGCCCGTTTGGCCAAGTTGCAAAAATCAGCTTATTTTGAGAAGTGTTTTTTTCAAAAGTGCTTTTCTCAAAAGTACTTTTGGTGAGAAGCAGTTTGTGTTTGGCTAATTAGTTTGAAAAGCACTTCTGAGCAGCAATTAGTGTTTGGCCAAGCTTTAAAAAACTGCTTTTAAGTGTATTTTTCTCAAAAGTGCTTCTCAAAAAAGTGCTTTTGGAGAGAAGTTACTTTTTTTTGCTTCTGCTTCTCCTCAAAAGCACTTTTTTTCCTTCCAAAAGCTTGGCCAAACACCTCAAATTGAGGCCAAAAGTGCTTTTGGCCAAAAAAAAGCACTTTTGGCCAAAAATAAGCTTGGCCAAATAGGCTATTAATTTACTGCATTTGATGATAAATAAGTACACTTGCTGCCCTTTTGAAGAAGGGTGTGGCCACACAAAAATTTATCATTTGAAAAATCCAGCTCTTCGATTTGAATAGATTTATCAAAGAGTAAAATTCATCAAAATAAATTTTCATTAAAACAAGAGGAAGGAAATGAATTTCCATTGTTTCTCCAAGGTCATTGTTAATTATAGATATAGAATAGGTATGTTACTAATTGGTCATAGAGAAATAGGTTTAAACAACATTTGTGTATGTTGCTCCGGAAAAGGTTGTTAAATCAATCATTAATATGGAAAATTTAGTTTGCATTTCCTGAATTTTGTTGAATAATTAATACACAAATAAAAAATTCAGTTAAATAAAAAAGTCAAGTGTTAGAACATAATTTAAAGTTTTAAAATTTGATTTTGTTCAACTTTTGAATTATACTATGTGATTAGTATTAGGAAATCTCTTTCTTCTTTATTAATAATGTACGTTATAGAAACTCCAGTTAAATAAGAGAAATAAATATTTTCTTCATATATTTGTTTGAATAGAAATTGAATTTCAAAATTGATTTTCTTCAACTTTTGAATATTTTTGTAGGATTAACTACTAAAAAATATTTCTTATTACTCCTCGATTTTATTTTATATGATGATATTTAAATGGATCGTGAAGCTTAAGCAAGAAAAGAAGAGATTTTACACATACTAATGGCATTCTTAGAACGTGGGTCTTATACATGCTATGATATTTTTATGATTATAAGATCATGCCATTAACAGAAAACTAAAAAGTTTAAATTAAAGAATTTCAAATATAAAAAATTGCCACTCTTGTTTCTAAAAGAGTAAAAATGAAAGAATGTCATATATAATGAAACAAAGGTAGCAAAAATATTCAACCAATTTTTTCCTTTATAAACATGCCAAAAGAGTAATAAAAATGTATCATCTTTTTGGGAAAGATTAAGAAAAAGAGTTTCACGTAAAATGAAACAAATGAGATTAACTAATATTGTATTGTTTTTCCCGGTACAGGGACACGTGGCTATAATAATTTCTTTAAAAGACATTAATTCTACGTAGTTTATGGAACACCAACCTTGGCTTGCTCCAATAGTTAAGTTTACTTAAATTATATTGCATTTGACATTTCATACAATATCTACCCTAATAAACTACAATCTAATTCAAATTGTTGGGCTCATGCGCAAGCACGGGCAAACATACTCTAGTATATTGATATGACTTTTATCAAGTTTGCAAAATGTTAGTCATATGTTTAATACAGTACATTAGTTCTTGTTTAAAACTTTATTGACAAATATGAAAATTTAAGTGGCTTAATTCAAATTTATAGTAAAATATTAGGCAAAATCCAACTGTTAAAAACTTGAAACTTTGAAATAAAAAGCCATGCCCCAATACCCGAGGTAACGTGACAAGCAACACACAACACAACCCTCGTCTGGCAAACCCATATCCCTTAAGACCTATCAACCATCAATACATGCACAAGAGCACTCCAAATCAACATTTCAAGACATAAACCATGCATAAATAATCTTTAAAATTCCCTAACCATGCATAATATACATAATATGTCCAACAAATAACTACATTTATCTAACCCAGTGTATACAACTCTCACATTCAGCGGCGGATCCACCCTATAAATTTAGGTTCCGGTGAACCCATGGTCTTCCGGCAAATTAATTTTTTCATGTATATAATTTACAAAAATGGTCTAATATAATTCTTAGGAACTCATGCACTACAAGGATAAGTGGTGCACTGGCTAGATGGTTGTTTTACTTATCCAAGGACAAAGGATTGATTGCTCTTGGACTTTCTCATTATACAATTTTCTTTCCTTTTTTTTTAATATTTAATTTTTTCTCGTCCTACAGTGTTTTATTCCCCCGAATACCAATTTATGGCAACCTCAATCACACCTCTCAAGTAATTTTCTATTTACCATTTTTGCTTCTAAGTTTTTAATTGCTTTAACCTCAAAGAATTTTGAATTGTTAGTATAGTTTCTTAAGGAATATTTTAGTTTATTTTTGTAAGTAATTTACATATAAAGAATTAGTCATATGTTAAAATTTTTGTAATATTTTTTGTGCTTCTTTTTGCACTAAAATTTTTACAAGTTTCAAATTTTACAGTATTAAATTGTCATTAGCATTTTATTTTTCCTCTTTGTTTTGAATTTTGATGGTAAGAACTGAGTTGTTTAAGAAGTGTATAAATTATCTCTTTAAATAATATTTAAAATTGATAATAAGTCATAAAATACTAAAAGTTCTCACATTAATTGACATTATTAATCAAATTATTTTTTGACACTATTTATAAGCACCACGTTAAAGCCAGTGGCGCACCCATGGTCTCAAAATATTGGATCCGCCTCTACTTACATTCACACTATGAAATTTAGCAACATACACAGTATATTCCCACAAACAAAATATTTCGAGGATAGTGTATACTGTGTACGGAAATCTTACTCTTATCGTGTGTGTGCAGATAGAGAGACTTGTTTACGAAAACCATAAAACTTCTAGAGACATTTAAAAAGACATATATTTGAGTCAAAGCCAGTCTATACAACATAAAATGAGAAGATGATACCATACCAATTGGACTCATAAGCACGGGCTTAGGTATTGTATTCACGACGGGTTCAATTGAACCCATAATTTTTTACGCATAGTAAAAATTTATATGTAAAAACTCATTAAAATTGCAAATATAGTAGATATGAACCCATAACGTTAAAAACACAATCAGTTCAATACTAAAAACCTTAAAACATGAACTCATAGAGTTTAAATTTTGAATCTGCCCCTACTTAAAAACATATGACAATAGAGACACAAGTACACAAAGTACTTATTAAGTCTTATACGCATATAAATACACATTTGAATTGTGAATAAGTTTTTATTTTTTTTAAAACTACTGAAAATTGCTAGATAGATTACTAATAAAAGCATATCCATAAAATATTAGAAAAAATATTACTATATAAATTATTTCTTTTTATTTAACCATACCCTAAGATTTTTCTTCAGCTATTTCTCAAACAGTATTTCCTCATTTTTTTTAACAAAAAATATTTATAACAAACAAATAAATGGTTTTCCTGGCACTTCAACTCTGTTGGGAGGATGAAAAAAGAAAAAAGAAAAAAAAACAGCAAACGACAGAAATCAAAAACAAAAAATTAAGAAGCCATCTCAAAGTAAGAAATTATAGTCTTCTTATTTTATAGTGCTTTCAACTTCAGGACTGTAAATGGGTTTCCAATCCCTAAACTGCAGCAAATAGTGCAGAAGAACTAACAATACTTAACATCTATGTTAATAATTAATTAAGCAGATTCAACGCAATGATAGATACGGGGTAACTAAGCAGCCAAAGGTGTGACTTAGCAGTCAATGAAGTCAGATGGGAACCCTGAAAGACAAGGCTTCAAATTCCAAGAAAGACAAAACACAATAGGCGATTTCTTTTCATCTATCTAAGTCATCAATCTATATAATAAAGTTACTCCATAAAATCCTTTCTATAGCATACTTCTTCTGAAATAAAAAAGTTACTACAGTTAAAAGAAAGCATGGATACAACATGGCCAAAATATATACATATCAATCAATTATGCCACGCCATTAGATACAGAATTTCAAACTCATCATGAAGACTTTCAGCACAAAAAGATTAAGTGTTTCTAAATGGATCATGCTAAAAGCTTGAGAATCCAACACTTCCTAGAGGTGAGATTGGTAGATATCAACTAAAAGGGTTAACCTCGTATTTCGGTATAACATCATGATTTTCCCAGAGTATTTACGTAAAACAGCTAACCACTTCAATCTTAACTAACAGAGCTGGCTTCATCAGAACTATAATCACTACTATCATCCTTGATATCAAGCTGCACATGCCGAACCTGTATTAGCGACTCAAAACAGCTAACCAGATCAATCTTCACTATCAGAGCTGGCCTCATCAGAACTGTAATCACTACTATCATCCTCAATATCAAGCTGCACATGCCGAACCTGTATTGGTTCGGGCATTCTTGGCAGTCCTGGGGGAGGTACTGGTCGTGCCGGTACTTCCTCGACCTTTGGAGGAAGTGAAAGAGAATCAAATGGAGGCAGTGCTATTGGATCGCCAGGCTTCCACCCAGGTGGAGGAAGTGGGAGGTCAGTGGGCAACTCAACAGGCATACCAGGTTTCCATCCAGATGGCACTACAATATTTGGAGTGATGAGGCCCTGAATATTGGCAAGTGGGTTAGTTTCCACCGCAGGTTCAATGAGTGGCTCAATAATCTTCTCTTTGCCTTCATCTAGTTTTGGTAAACCAACATCAAGATCAGCAAAATTATATAATTGAGATGCACGCATTTGCTCGTCCTGTGGAGCCGGAGGGAGTGCTCCCCGAAGAGGAGCCTGTCCAGCACCAAATTCAGGTGGTGCAAAAGTAGTGTAGCTTATCCTATGAGCATATGACAATATGTCAGATAATTTCAACTGAGTTGCCACAGTTGTTACTGAAGATTCTTCAGTATCATTTTCCAACTTGGCCCGTTTGGGACGACGATAATCAGAGTAATCATCAACAAGCATG